GTTGGGAAAATATTTAGAAATGGAGATAACCAGCAAATGATATGGAACAGATACTGACTGCGTGGACCATTCTGTAATGCCCTGTTTATACACCAAAGGCAAGTTCATGTTGGCAGAACACATTGGGGGCTGTCATGCAACAGCAGTACTTTGGGAGAAGGTGAATGATGGGGTGGAGGTGGGGTGGTGGACAGGAGGACTCCTAAGTTCCAGTTCTTAAATACTAGACAGCAAGGAACAGTTTGGTCTCAGTCCTTTAGTGAAGAAATCAGATGCTCATTTTCTGTTCTACATCCACCTTCTCCAAAACCTTGACAACTTCTGTGAAAGATACAGCACTGTCCCCATCTTAATCAGCTTCCTGGATAGTCCTGTCTGTGATGCTGCCCAGCTTTTCATCTGAGATGTTCACTCTGATCATCATACGTAGCACCTGTAACAGCTCATCACAGGAGATCTTGTCATCTTTATCCAAATCATCTAGTCGAAAAGCAAAGTGCAGTTTGTTGCTTTGGCTGTTGAGTGGTTCTGGTCTATTCACATCTTTACTCTTTTCATTATCTTCAATGGGTTGGAAATCAACCAAAGTTCTCATGAATCCATGGAAGTTTACCTGGTCTTCTCCATCTGGAAAAAAAGGAATTGATGATCTGGTCTCTCAGTGGGTTCATGGCAAGTTCTGGAATCCACTGGAAGTCCAGGTTGGTGAACCGGATATAGAGGCGGGTGATCTGACTGTGGGAAAAGCCAGTTTCCTTCTCGATCTCTTCAAGCTCTTCTTCCCACAGTGACATGGAGGTCCAAGATCCCATCACTGAGTCAGGAGTTCCTCTGGGAGCAGGCACCCCAGAAAAGACTGCAGTAGTCGGAGGAAAGGATTGGAAAGAGGAAGGGCCAGGGGTCAAGAAGGCAGAAGGCAGGGTATCCATGCTGAACTCTATTCTGCTAATTTTTTTTATGTCTTTTTTCTCTTTGCATTTCAGTTTGGGAACTTTGTATGGATACGTCTTCAAGCTTACTGATTCTCTCCTTGGCTGTACCAATCTAATGATAAACCTATCAAAATCATCATTTCCATTACAGTGTTTTTCAATTACCAGTATCTTCTGATTCTTTCTTAGAGTTTCTATTTCTCTGATTACATTACCTATGTGTTTTGGCATGTTGTATAATATTTCTAATAGACTCTTTAGCATTTAATCACAGTTATTTTAAATTCCATATATGTGATCATTCCAAAACTTGAGCTATATGTAACTTTGGCTCTGATGCTTGTTTTGTTTCTTGAGACTGTTTTTTTTCCTTTTAGCATGCCTCATAATTTCTTCTATGTTGAAACCCATACTTAATGTATGCTGTATTAGGAACTAAGGTAAAAAGGCCATTAGCATAATGTTTTATGTTAATCTGGTGAGGAGTTGGACTAATCTATACTTTGCCTCAAGTGTTTATTAATGTCTGCTCAAGCTATAGGTGTCACAGGGTTTCAGTTTTCTCTAATGTCCTTGTTTTTTGTCTTCCATGTTTTCTTCAGATTTCCCTAAAAACCTCTTAAATAGAGTCTGAGCCCTGCAGGTGTAACCCACAGTTATTACACTGAAGCCCTGTTCATGCAGTGGTAAGGTATAAAGTAAGGTGAAATATTCTGTAATCCTATAATCAAGCCTCAGTCTTTCAGTATGCCTGTGTTCCCCACCTGTACTTTTCAGAAGTGTGTCATAATTTTTTTTCTTTCTCTGTTAGATGAGAAAGGAAGGCTAGAAGGGCCTGAAGTTAGATGATTTCCCTTTTCTCACACTGGAGGCGACTCTGGTAAAGTAGTTTTACTTGTTGGGTAGTTCTTTGTTAGACAGAAGTTCTAAGTATATTTCAAAATTACTACTTTTCTGTTCCCCATGCCAGGAACACATATTTGTCTTGGCTCTTCAACCTGAGAACCTAGTGGGGTTCCTGGAGGTATTTATTGACTAATTCCAGAGGCACCGTGGCTGCCATATATGGTGGTTCTACAAATACTACTTGATTTACTACTAGTCAGGAACAGAGTTTTTCCTCAGCTCTTCAACTTGAGAACCTGTTATGTTCAAATACTAATCTATACTTTGCCTCAACCAATTTGTCAAAGTTACCACTCAAGTATTCTTACCAGTTTATGGTTCCTGATAAGTAGATCTGGCCTGTGATTCTTGGTAATTTCCTGTCTCTCCAGATTTAGGGGTTGCAGTTTGCTCTGTGACTTCAATTCTCTGATGGGTCCAAGAAAAAACTCATTGATTTTTAGCTTGTTTGGCTGCATTTCTTGTTGTAAGACAGGAGTGATGACTTCAAAGCACCTTATATGCTGGAGTTGAAACCAGAAGTCTGAAACTAGCCATTTTCATTCAACATTATGTTTGTGAGCTGCATCTACACTGAAACCTGTAGTTACAGTTTATTTGTTTTCTCTACCATATAGTATTCTATTTTATGAATATACCATGCTTTATCCATTCTCCTACTGATGAACATGTATGTTGTTTACAAATAATATTACAATGAGCATCCTTATAATACCTCCTAATGTGCATGTGTAAGAATTCCTCTAGGATAGATACCTAGAAATGGCACTGCTGATCCATACTGTATGAGCATCTTCTATTTTACTAGATATTGCCACAATGTTCTTGAAAGTGATTGTACTCATTTATACCCAGCCAGAAATATATTAGAGTTCTTAGTGTTCCATATGTTCACTAATACTTGGCATTGCCATGCTTTTATGCTAACATCCTGGGTGGTAAATAGTATTTCATTATGGTTTTATTTTGTATGTCTTTAATTGCTGATGAGAGTTAATAAGTTAATTAGACAATCATGTTTTCTCATCTATGAATTGCCTATTAATAGCTTCTGACCATTTTATTGGGTTGTTTGTATTTTTCTTATTAATTTGCAGGGAGAGATTTCCTTAAAATGACTCATAAAGCACAAACCATGAAGTAAAATACTGATGATGTAGTTACATTAAAATGAAAGGCTTCTACTTAATATAAGACATCAGAAGTGATGTTAAAACGATAAGCCACTCACTGGGAAAATGTATTTGCTAAATAAGCAGAAAGGATTTGTATTGAGAACTTAAAAATAATCTCCATAAATAATATGAAAAACTAAACAACCAAATAGTAGGCAAAAAGGAACAGACAACTTACAGAAGGTTCCTGAAAGGTTAATAAGTTTATAAACACATGCATAATTTCACTGGAATCCAGAAACATGCAAATTAAAACAATGAGATACCTTTCTAATATGTTAGACTGGCAAAAATAAAAAGTCTAATATTACAAAGTATTGGCAAGGATGTGAAAGAGATCTCTGAAACCCTGCTCATGGAGTTGATATACATATCCTATATACACAGTAATTCCACTCCTGGGTATGTAGTCTACAACAGGGATTCTTAAAATGTTTCTCAGACCAGGAGCATCTCTTGGGAACTTGGAAATGCAAATTCTCAGGCCCTACTCCAGAACTACTGAATAAAAAATTTTGTGGGCAGAGCCAAGCAATCTGTTTTAACAGCCTTGTCAGGTGATTCTGGTGTACACTAACATTTGATAATCACTGCAATAAAGCAGTATTTTTCCAGCTTTTTTTGACTAAGGTCTACAGGAAGAAATGCATTCTGGCCCACAAACATCTATCCTCTCCTTCTCTCATGTGTGTGTGCACACACATGCAAAACAAAACCTTCAAGAAACAGTACTTAATATTTATATTTAATTGATATTGATATTTTATATTCTATTCTACTTCATTTCATTAAAAATTTGCTGATTGTGACTTACTAATTATATAATAATGTTTGTTGCAGAATTCTCTGCAATAAAAAAATGAACAGAGAAAGTCTTCAGGAGATTGGATAAATGAATTATACTATATTTCTACAATGGAATACATAGTTCCTAATATCATTAGAAATAAATTTCAAAACCATGCATATTGACTTTAAAAATCAAGCTATAGAAGGGTACGTAGGCCCTGGCTGGTGTGGCTCAGAGGATTGAGCACCAGCCTCTGAACCAAAGGGTCACTGGTTTAATTCCCAGTCAGGGTCCATGCCTGGGTTGCGGGCCAGGTTCCCAATTGGGGGTTCATGACAGGCAACTACACACTGAGGTTTCTCTCCCTCTTTCTCTAAAAATAAATAAATAAAATATTTTAAAAAGAAGGTTATATAGGTTATGATTTCCTCTACATAGTTTTAAAGTATATAAAACTATATGTTGTTTATGAATATATAGCTATGTAGTAAAAATATAAAACAAAGATTATTTACAAGTTTACTTAGATATTTGCCAATTTCTCAAGAATTAGATGCCCTGTGCATTCACTTTGCTCTTAACTACCAGCATCTGAAGTCATATGTCATATGAAAGCCAGGTGGAGCATTTGGAGTAGCCCAAGAACTTATATGCATGAATGAACACTGGTATGGGGATTGCCTGAGGGACTGGGGGCTGCTAGGTGGAGGGGTGCAAAGAGGGAAAATTGGGACAATTATAATAGCATAATCCATGTAATATAATTAAAAAAACTCGCATGGTATCAGTAAATCCTAGTCATAACCAGAATATCAATTATTGACTAATTCCAGAGGCACCATGGCTATGATACATGGTAGTTTTATCAATACTACCTGACTCACTGCTAGCCTAGGAAATTGGAGGTTACTTTTCCTTCAATTCAGGTCTTCTAGTAGGTATAGACTAGAGTCTCTTCAAGATTTCTTTAAAATTTTAAGGGTAGTTTAGGACCTTAGAAAACCACGAAGAACATCATAGGAAATATACTACTTATGTAGTATGCAGAGAAAGAATAGTCAAGGTCAAGGAAAAACACAATCACTATGCCTATGTCATAATTCTTTGGTATAATCAAAGTGAATATAAAAGTACTACTTTATGTAGAGGTAAATTAAAATGAAAACAACCCATTTTTTTTCTTGGTTTAGCCTATACCTTGTTTGGCTCCCCTGGATTATATGAAGAAAACATAGGAATTTTTCGGATCTCTTCCTCTGACAAACGATTTCTCTGGATCTCATCTTCTGGGACAAATTCTATTGGCTGCGTCAGCTTCTTAGGCCCAGTCCAACACTGCTCAGGTGAATTATCAATAACTTTTGCCACATGGAGACTGGGACTTTTACCCTGTGCTGCCTGTTCTCCCTTGTCCTGGAGTAATGGCGGGTTCTCAGCTGTGCCACTATCTCCCACTGATGTAGCTGAGACCAGTGAGTGGGAAGCAAAGGGTTCACCTCTCATAAGATGGAACTCTTCAAGACGTTTTTTCATTATCATCTCTTGGTAAAAACTTTCCAGGTTGTTCATGGGATCACCTTTGTTCTTCTTTTGGGGTTCATCTGGATCAAGACAAAGAGATATGGAAGTTCTACAAAGCCTACCAATAAAACCTTTAACAAATTAATAAAAATTAAATCTTGGATCTCAGGTATAGAAACTCTGCTGGGGCAGGTATTTATAACCAATGACAGTAGTACATAGCTATTCTATTGCTGTGCATTGCAAGCAAGGCTGGAACTACACTGAGACAAGTGAGGCACCTGGGGTGTAAAATTTAAGGAGGTGCTCACTCTCAGGGTCATGCAAGTATATATACCTAACTGATAAGGACACTTGAAAAATGTAACCAGTATGGCATTATTACACTTCTCAAAGTTAATAATTCCTTAATATCATCTAATACCAAGTTCATATTGAAATGGCCCTGATTATCTCAAAGATATCTTTTTACACTTGGTTGTTTTAACTAGCCTTTGGCTGTTATATCTCTTAAGCCTTATTATTTTAAAATAGTACCCCTTCTTTCCCAACCCTTCAACCCACTTTCTCCCCCATCCATTGATTTATGAGAGGAACCTAACAAATGAATGTGACTGATTGTTCTTCATGGTATTATTTAACTTGTTCCTTAATCCCTTCCATTTCTTACAAACTGTCAGTTAAATTTAGAGCTATTATGTCTAATACAGTACCCACTGGCCACACAAATCTATTTATATTAATCTTTTAAATGTCTGTTTTTCAAACTAGTCACATTTCAAATGTTCATAGCCACCTGTGGCTAGTGGATGTCATGTTGGGCAAAAAAGATAAAGAACATTTACATCATTATACAAGTTGCATAAGATTCAGGTTTCATATTTTTAGACAAGAATTCTCCTCCAAAGAGAGATGTGTACTTTCTATTATATCATAAGGCATATAATGTTTGGTGGTCTCATTTTTAGTGATGCTGATATTGATCAGTGAATTCAGATGGTATTAGTTGGATCCCTCCATTACGAAGTTCTCCCATTCACGTTTCACCTAATGGGTTTTACATCCATTATGACTGTTGCGTGGATCTAATAATTTATTAAGAGTTCTGAAATGGAGCTCTCCTGATTCTACTATTTCTTTATATTTATTATTTAGAATTCTATAATAAACTTACCATCAACTAATTAGTTTCCCTATATACAGTTCATACAGGAAAGGCAGGATAAATGCTTGATTTTTCCCATTATTTACCAACTATGACAGTAATGAGTTGATACCTTAGAAATATCCAGTGTTGATCAATGCTTATTTTAATTTTAATTTTATTTTTTAAAGATTTTATTAATTTTTAGAGAGAAGGGAAGGGAGGAAGAGAAGGAGAGAAACATCAATGTGTGGTTGCCTCTCATGTGTCCCCTACTTGGGGACCTGGCCTGCAACCCAGGCATGTGCCCTGACTGGTAACTGAACTGAAGACCCTTTGGTTCATAGGCCCATGCTCAATTCACTGAGCCACACCAGCCAGGGTGACCAATGATTATTTTTAGTATAATTGTGAGATCATGTAGTTTCACAAATTTGATGTGCTTTTTAGTGGGAAAATTATCCCACTTAGGACTATAAGAGTCTCTTCAAATTGACTCCTGTATTGCTTTTCAGTTTTCTGGCACAGTAAGTTGTCCCAAGCTCACCTTGCACATTTTCTGACTCATACCCGGAATATTTCTCCAAGGACTACTGGCTTCTTTTAATGGGAAATAGTATTTAGAAAGTCAAATGTGTTGCTAGGTGTGTTCATTGCTATTGAGTTGTTATTGATACTAGGCATTTTCAGTGGACAAAACCAGGACATTTTTTAAAAGAGAAAAATAAATCAGACTGGTATTTCTACTTCAAATGTAAGATTATAAGGTTTTTACTCAAACTCCTTGATGTTAGACTTGTATATCTGTTTTCACATATGCTTAAAATATTGGCTCTTAGTATTAAAAATTATTTATTATTTTTTCTGCAATATATTTATAGAATTTTTAAATGTCAATAACAATACTAATATGACTGTCAATGAAAAATTACTGAATAGTTTTATATTTCTTTGCATTTATCTTTATCCTTAAAATATATCCCATTAGGAATGTACAAATATTGTTTCAAAGTCATTTTAAATAATTGTTTCCTCTGTATTGTTGTTACCAACTTTATAGTTTTAGGTTCATCTGCTTCAGGTTGTTATGAATTTTAGGGATTGATGTTTTTTCCCTTTTTGATTTTTAAATTATGCAAAACATTTACATGGGTCTGAATTGAAAACTGTGTTATACATTATACAGTACTTTTACAGCTGTTTCACTTCCATTTCTGTCCTCTTTATCATACTCCTTTCCTTCCCCATGAATAACAATTTTTACTAGGTTTTGGCTTTATGGTTGCATTGATTCCTTTTTGAAAATACAAGCAAATAGGCATATGTATACATATACATACATATATGTATGTCATTATTTACATCCCTCTCCTACTGTTTACAACTTACTTTTCTGCACTTAACAATATACACTTCAGATAACTCCGTATTAATATGTATAGCTCTTTCCCTTCCTTCTGATAGCTGTGTAATACTCCACTGTGAGGATGTTCCACAGTTTATTCAACTATTCCCTATTAAGGCACACTGGTATTGTATCCAGTCATTTCTGCTGTTATAAATAATATCCTGATAAACAACCTTGTGCATATAGGATTTTGTATTTTTCCAGTACATCTCTGAAATAGATTCCAAGAGATGGGTTTGCTGAGACAAAGGGTCAAATGTTTGTGTAATTTTTCTCTATATTGATAATTCTACTTTGTAGAAGTTGTACTATTATGCATTTCCACCAGCAAGGCATAAGAATATATATGGAAGGATTTCTGAAGTCTCCAAAGGATTAAGCATTAAAAAAATATTGACAAATTCAACTACATTAAAATTAAAAACTTCTGTTCATCCAAAAAATTATAAAAAATAGAAAAGTCTTAGAACAAGAAAAGATATTTGCTGCACAAATAACTGATAAAGAATACAGCCATTAGGAAACTGGGTAAAGGATCAAAAAGGTTCCTCAAAAAAGGTACAATATACATAGCTAATAAATACATAGAAAATTACTCAATGACATTAGAATTCAGAGAAATGTTAACTAAGAAGAAAATACTAATAGAAAACTGTCATATTGGCAAAAAAATTAAAAAGGAATACAAATATTACATATCAGTGAGATTGTAAAGCAAATGAAACCTTCATACATTGCCGGTAGGAATGTGCAACTACAGTGCAAACCACTATGACATCATTTACTAATGTTGAATTTATGCTCATAAATATGGCCCATCCATTCCACTCCTATGTATAAACCATAGAAAAATTAGGTTCATGTCCACCAGGATACAATAAGAATAGTTTGATCTGTGGTATTTATACTAGCCTGGAACTAGAAAAAAATACAAGTGTCCTCAGAAGAATCAATTACAAAATTATATTTAAGTTTATATAATGAAATACAACATTCCAGTGAAAGTGAACAAATTTCAGCTACATATGACCAAGTGTATGAATATCCCAATGTATATACTCAAAAAATATTTATTCAGTGACTATTATGATCATCACATTATTCTAGGTTCTTGAGATACATCAATAAATGAAACAAAGATTTCTATCTTCATAGAGCTAAGTGAATTATTACATTAGAAGGTTCTGTTATGTTATCAGTGCTTTGAAAAAGAAAACAGCAGTGTAAGGGATGACTGGTAGTGCTAAGACTTGGTAATATTGGTGGTTGTACTTTTAATATTGGTCTGGGTGGATGTCATTGAGAAGGTGACATTTAAGAGAAGACTTATAGAAGGTGAGGGATTCTACCATGCTGATATTAGAGTGAGAATTCCAAGGTGACAGTATGTCTCAAATTTTTAAACAGTCTGAAATCATACAATGTATTTCTCTGACCACAACGGAATCACATTAGAGATCTACTACTGGAAGAAATCTGGGAAAACACAAATATTTGAAAATTAGACAACACATATCAAAATAACCCATAGGTCAAAGAACTCACATAGGAAATTTAAAAATATTTTGAACTAAATGAAAATGAAAACACAACATACTCAAATTTATGGATGTAGGCAAAATAGCCCTCAGAGAGAAATCTGTCCCTTTAAACACCTATATCAGAAAAGAATAACAGTTTCAAGTCTATAACCTGAGCTTCCAACTTAGGAAACTAGAAAAAGCAAACTAAACACGATGCAAGGAGAAGGAAGAAAATAATAAAGATTAGGGAATAAGCCAGTACAATAGAAAACAGAAAAATAGAGAAAAATCAATGAAACCAAAAGCTGGTTCTTTGAAAATGTTAACAAAATGACAAACCTTTAGCTAGACCAACCAAGAAAATAAGACAGAAGACACAGAGGATGAAAACAAAGAAATAAAGATGGAGCATCATTACTGAACTTATACAAATGGAAACAACTTTAATGGAATATTATAAATAACTTTAGGCTAACAAATTAGAAAGGGTAGATGAATGGACAAATTCAAAGAAAGATACAAATTATCAAAGCAGACTCAAGAAGGATGAGAAGAGTTGAATAAACCTATAAGAAGTAAAGAGGCTGAATTAGTAATCAACAAACTGTGCACAAAGGAAAGCCCAGGTCCGGGTGGCTTCATCTGTGAATTCTACCAAACATTTAAAGAAATAATATTAATCTTCCACAAATACTTTCAGAAAATAGAGGAAGAGAGAATATTTTCCAACTTATTCTATGAGGTCAGTATTAGATGGAAATCAAAGCTAAACAAACATCAGAAGCAAAGAAAACTACAAACCAATATCCCTCATGAACAGAGACACAAAAAATCTTTAACAAAATATTAGTAAGCCTAATCCAGCAACATATAAAACTTGTTATACACAGATAAGTACGATCTATCCCAGAAATGAAATATTGGTTTACCATCTAAAAATCAATCAATATAATACATTATATTAATAGATTAAAACTTTAAAACATGTGATCACCACAATAGGTG